TGCTTTGCACTTTTTTAAATTAGTTCAACTGAACTTTTAATTTTGTTTGTTTTAGTTTTCAGGGCATAATGTTATTATAAAATTGAATATCAAAATTTATGTTTAATCAATGTTACCAAAAATTGATAACATATCAAACTCAGTGTAAAATTTTAACGTGCGTAATCTNACCAAAAATTGATAACATATCAAACTCAGTGTAAAATTTTAACGTGCGTAATCTAAACTGACTTTTATTTTATAAAAAATGTTTAAAACAAAAGTAACTCTCTAGCTGGAAATTCAAATTGTTTAACTACACAAAAATTTTTTTTATAACTTTTGCTAATTTGCGAGCAAAGCGTGTAATGATAAAAGTAAGTTTTTTTGAGCTTTTTTAAAAAAAGTACATCATTGAAAAAAATCTTAGAAAAAACTCAAAATGCTCAAAACTTAATTTTGTTAAGTTTTTGAGGTTAGTTTTGTTTTGCACAATGAAATTTGTGTGATAGTCAATGCCTTGTCAATGCCCTGTCAATGCGCCATAAGAAATGCATTGCGCCATTGACTTTCAGGTGTTTTGACCGCCCCCATAGAAATGCATGGTTTTCCCATAGACCGAGTTTCGGAACTTTCCAAATTTTTGATGATATTTTTGGAACCATCAGTCAAATTTAAATGATTTAAAGTTGTAAATCAAGTAGAGAAGTAACTCTTACTGACAGTATTTTTTGTTTTTGAAAACCCATTTATTTGTTTAGAAAAATCGCTCTCGGAAAAAGTACTGACAGAACTTTTGACTCACCCTGTATATGTTCAGCGTGACACAATCACTACCCCAACAGTGCACTTGCGCATCACTTCACTTTCCTGTTAGCAGCCGCTCAGTTTTGCTCAAAACAAACTTGACCTTCCAGCTGAGTGCTTGCACACTGACTGTCAGCTGATCCTACCAAAGCCGAAATGTCTTCAACTCTCCAGGCCAAGAAGCAGGAAGTGTACAACATCACAGGGCCGATTTGTGCTCCAGTGACGCCTTTCAAGGAAGATGGGTATGTAATCAACGGTAAATTGTGTGACACAGTTGGTCAACTAATTTATCTTTTTGCAGTGAACTAAACCTCAGTGTCATTCCCAAGTACGTGAAGTACCTCGTGAGCATTGGCGTAAAAGGCTTGTACATTTCCGGTACAACTGGAGAGGTGTTCAACTTGTCTCTGCAGGAAAAGTTGTTGCTGATACAAGCTTACAAAGAAGCACTGGACAAGCTACCAAAAGAGCAGAAACTGCTCACTATGGTACTGGTTAGCTCCACCGTTGTCAAAGAGGTGATTGAGCTGACAAAAAAGGTGGAAGAGCTGGGCTTCGATTGTGTTGCCCTGTTGCCGCCCATTTACTACACAGTGACAACCAAAAATGAACTGATCAACTACTTGAAGCTGGTTGCCGAAGCAGCACCAAACACACCTCTGCTCTACTACCACTCGCCGCTGAAAACGGGTGAACTAAAGTGTGAGTTTTGCTTGTGTCAAAAACTGTGTCTTTTTCTAATTGGTTCTTTACAGTTGTTTTTGAAAACTTTATTCAGACTGCTATCGATGAAATTCCGCAGTTTACTGCGCTCAAGTTCAGCGACCCAAATCTGGTCCGCTACGAATCTTGTCAGAGTCATTTTGGGGATAAAGTGAGGTTTTTTGCTGGCATGAATGAAGTAAGTTTAGTTCAAACCGTAATCTATTTTTCGGCTCGTCATCAGTTTTTAGCCCATCTACTAAGTAATGTCGCTTCTTTTCCTTTAGATCTTATTGCCAGTAGCTTCATATGGTGTCAAGTCGGCAATCTGTTCGTCATTTAGTCTGGCCAACTGTGTTGGTGCGTACATTTCTCTTTTGGAAGCAGTGGAGCGAAATGATTTAGTACAAGCTCGAAAGGATCAAAAGCTTGTGGCGGATACTTGTGCTCGCCTTCGATCGACTAACTACTTTGCCGCACTAAAATCACAGCTAAATGAAGATTTGGCAAGCTTAGGCATTTTTGTTGGCAAACCAAGAGCACCAGTGCTGCTGGCTTGAAACAAACCAAATTAATCGCCTTTTTGACAAAACTCAAGTCTTCCAAATATTGACCTTTCCATAGTTGTTTTTAGAAATCAAATAATATCAAAGTTTTTCAGTGTGATAAGATGGTTGATATTTAGTTACCGATCAAAACCATTAAATAGTTTGATGTTTAAGTTGACCAACAAAATTCAATTATTTTCCAATAAATTGACCAGCTCATCTCACAGTAAACCGTTTTGAATCAACAAATGTTTATAACAGTTTTTAACATATCAGTATTTTCGTATACAAAGTTCACGGCTCAGCTTTGTCAGTGGTGGGATAAGAAGTGGATGGCTCATTGGTCAAAGCAGGCGCAATGGGTATGCTTTCAGGGCCCGTTATGAATGATCTCAGTTTGTACCAGCGAATGGTGAGCTTGTGCAACTCCAGTTGGTTCACGTTAATCTCCATTGCACCGATGGGCACATTAGAGTCAAAGGTGCGCTTCTGTTTCTCCCACACCGAAACGAGCAGCGTACGGTCAAAGAGAATATTCGCATCGTACTTGAGCGTTTGTCGGTATTGCGGATTCTTATCAGCAGGTATAACGCGTGTTTTGCGTTTGTGCAACTGGCGGCCTTTGTCGTGAACGTACGTCTTCACGTAGGTATCTGAAATGGTCAGTGTCAGACGGTCGTAGCTTAATAGGCAAAACATTGAAATGTGACTATACCTGGTGGAAAGGGCCCCATGACCGAGTCGGGCAGGCCTCGTGCTGCCACAACTTCAATTTCAAAGAGGCCCTTTGTCATGATGAAGCCTAGCTTTATTTCGCCCACCACCACTGACTTTGGCGGCTCTGCAGCCGATGCGCCCTCATCTGGTCGGTTCAGCAGAAGAGAGGCACCGGCGGCCACGGCAGTGGGAATCATTCGCTGAAGGAAGCTCTTTCGCCTTCCCACCGCCCAATTGGGCGCGAGAAGATTTTGCTGAGAACCAACTGAACCGGATGCATCCTCAGGCTCTTCTTCGTTAGACGGCGTCACCGGAGAAGCAGTACCTGGGTGGAATAATTAAATCAACGCAAAATCTCTTTGAACGAATATTTCTTTCTCACCTGAGTACCGACTTGGATCGTCGATTGAAGCAATGGACAGTTTGTTAGTGTCGATCACCGTCAATTGATTGAGCTTTGTATCGGACAATTTTTTGCTTGGCTGTGAAAGTATTTCAGCAGCCTGAGCAACCGTCGTCGACGGACAGCCTCCCATCATTGATGCAGACGACTGTGGGCGGAAGTTGGGAAACGTTGTCGTCGGCCTGACGGGTGTATTTTGGTCTGAATTGAAGTTTGAATCATCCAGCAGCAAGTTGTCAATATCATCATCGGAGCTTAAGGGAGATGTGTCCTGATCGGATATTGGCTGTCCCAAGTTCTGACTTTGAAGTAAGTACTGACAGGAGTCATCCTGTCCGGTGCCGGTGAACCGCGAGTACCCACCGCCAGCGAATAAGGGCAGTGCACCTCCGATTGCTGACGAACTAGTGCCGGTCAGCGTCTTTCCGCTGGGTCCTTGACCCAGCGCAGAGGAGGACTTTCTTCGTTCGTATTGCTCCTGGTAAGGCGCCGCCAGGTGAGCTCCGCGAATGTAACTGGCCCCCATTGCCGCCGCCGCTTGCGCGTCACTGGCTACACCTGCTGGCAGGTGATAGAGATTGCCAACCGAGTGGCGGTTCTGCACCAGTCGCAGACTGGTGGTGCGATCCAGTGACAGCGAGCCTCCGTCACCGGTCGACTTGGGTCCCATTGAGTTGGAGTAGGAGCTGTCGTCCAGTGAGTGCCGACCGCCACTCGAGTTCAGCGTCGCCGTTGAGCCCCGTGTCGGCGGGCGGTACATTGAACTGGCGGTGGTCGGCCGCGTTGGAGGAGGCTGCTGCTGCATCGCCGACGTAGTTCTGTCCGAGGAAGCCGGAAATGCAGCCATCTCTCCGTCGGGCGCCTCCTCCACACAGGGCGAGGCTTCAACGATCATCTCCATGCCTGTGTCAGAGCGGCCAGAGTTGCGCCGAGAGCCTGGCGTGGAGCGAGACATCATAATGGACTCGCAGAGAAGATTTCCGGAGCTGACGTCTGCTGAGAGGGGCAAACAGTTGTTAGTGCACACTACAGCGCGCACGCGGTAGTGCGAGCGACAGTGAAGGGGTGGAGCCTATTGCAGTGAAGCCTGCATTGACCAATGCAACTGCAGCACAATACATTTCAAGAGGAAAAAATATTTTCAAAAAATAATAATGTTGTGCAAAATGCCAAATTAAATGTTTTTAAATTTAAAATTAGCATTAAATAGTTTGCATTTAAAAATACAAATGTTTTAAAACTAAAAATAAATTAATTTAGAAAAGAAATTAAAAGTAATTTAGCAGGCAACTGTTACGCGTTTGAAAAAATCTTATCTTGTCTAACATTTTATCAATGCAAGCAAGGGATCATTGATAACAGTAGTTTTGCTTCTCTGCCAGTCAGTTCTCTTTCATTTGCGATCTGCTCTCAAGTGAACAGCCACGCGCTAACACTTCTGCGTTTCCGCAAACTTGCAAAAGAAATCCAATTCTTTTCCAAGACCTCTTTCTTTCTCTTTTCTCTCTCTCTCTCTCTCTCTCTCTCTCTCTTTTGGTTTTAGGTTAGGCACCCAAGGTGCAAAACTTTTGACCATTTCATCTTAATCATTAAATCACATCTGCCAAGTTTTTGTTTCACTGTATATTTGCCCATTTCCTTACTCACTAATCATAATCATTTCATAGTGTAAAATATTAATTCATTTTATTACTAGCATATATTCACTGTTTAACCATCTTAGTTTTTCCTCTTTCATTTTCTTAGCTGTTTTTTTCTTTTTCAACCATTTAAATACCTAACAAGTTGAGACTACTTTTAGACATATTGTAGACAGCCCAGTCACCAGCAACCTGATACTCTACGAGCTAACCTACGGCCTGAACGAATTTCTCGACAGTTTCACGCACTTTAAGCCAGTGCTGCAGTTCTCCAGCCCATTGTGTACATCTTCTTCACCGACTACCTGCTTGTCCACCCATTTAATCTGTTGTGCGGAGGTCGAATTGTGCGAGACATTGCCGCCGTGCCGTTGATTCGCGAGGTAGACACCAGCAAGTGGTTTCTCCTGCGAGTCATCCCCTTCTCCAGTGGCCTGCACCTGATCCAAAGTACCATTGGCTTTTGCGTCTTTAACGGCCGCCACCTGAGCAAACTTTGAGACAACATCGGCTTACAAAACCATTTAACAATGACAGATAAGTCTTTGGTTGTGCGACAAACTAATGAGGTAGTAATGCGACAAAATGCCAATCGTGAAGCGATTGATCATTTTAAGTACGAGTTCATTTCTGATGATGATGGAAATTTGAAGTGCATTTTTTGCAAAGAAATTTTCATTCGTTTTGATATTGACTTTTTAACTAACCACACTTGCCAAACATCCCACAACATTAACAGAATTGCACACTATTTAAAGGAAAAGTCTAAAAAAGGGCTTTTTAAAACAAAGTTTAAAGTTAATGATTTTAATGTGATTGCTGCTGACGTGTTAAAGTTAGAATCAGACTCTATGATGAGAATTGAGGCTATGGAGCAAAAAGAGTTTGAAGAGTACATTGTAAGCAAACTTCCTTTTCCCCAAACTAAGCTAATAACAGGAAAACTTGAAAAAGTTAAGATTGCACTAAACAGTAAAATGTTTCGTGATTCGTATTTTAACAAAGTTATTTGTAATCATTGTGATAGTGAAATTAATGATTCTCTAACCGATATTGCTGCTCATATTGAGAACTGTATTCCTAATTTTCAATCTCTTGTCCCAGTAATAGATTGGAAAGTCGAAGAATCTATCGTGAACAAAGTGAACAGAGAAAAACATTTGCGTATTTTGCCTGCAAATAATAAACTTTTATGCATTGCTTGCAAAGATGAAATTATTTGCAATAGTTTTTCCATTTCTAGGCATTTAGAAAGTCAACATCATGCTGATTGTGTAAAAGTGCATGAAAACAGGATTTTTATTGATAATACAATTCTTTCTTCAGAATTCACAAACTGGCTAACTTTAACCTTGAGCTCTAGTAATACTTCATTTAGTACTATTAAGAGTTTATACGACTTTTTTGAGAATTTTACTGGTAGGAAAATTCCATGCGAAACTACCCTTCGTAAACATTTATTTCAGTCTTACAATTTTGTCAAAAATAGAGTGAGAAAAGAGATCGGTGAAAATATGATATTCATCAGTATGGATGAAGCATCTGCAGCTAAATTTAAGTTCGTTTCAGTTATCATTGGAACACTGAATCCAACTAATCCGTGTTTGCAAAAACAATTTGTCTTTGATTTTGTAAAATTAACTACAGCCTGGACAACTAGTGAAGTAATTAAGATTTTTGAAACTACTTTGAATGAATTGTATGGAAATAATTGGAAAGAGATTGCTCAAAAAAAGGTTAAACTTTTTGTATCAGACGCAGGTTCACAAATGGTTTCGGGAGGGAAAAAATTGCAAAAAGAGTATCCTTCTATGCTTTTCCTCACTTGCATTTGCCACGGTTTACATAACTTGTGTGCTACAATTTTATCTTTATTTCCTAATGCCATGAAATTTGTTACAGCTATGAACAACCTTTTGTACAGGTCAACAGCGAGAATGAGTTCTTTTTTGACACTTTTAAATATTAAGAAAAAACCAGTCAAAGCAGTTGAAACTCGGTGGGGCACTGGGCTAGATGCATGTGATTATTGGTGCTCTAATTTTGATTTTGCAGTTTCTTTTTTGTCTACTTTAAAATTTACTAAATCTAGGTCTAGGTCTCAAAGTAACGAGAAAGATGATGTTACACACATTGAACTTGCTAAACAACTCATTTTACTTGACTCGACTAAAGAAGAACTTGAATTTTGCAGTAAACATTATTCTTTTATAAGCAAAGTTATTCACAGTTTAGAAAAACGCAATCAATCA